CAGTCGCCTATTGCTCCTATTCCAGATAACCCACTGTACCCTGTCTGAAAGGAAGTAACGCTAGAGTAGACTCGCGAAAAGTGTATAAGACACTTTTAAGATCAACTAAATAGCTAAGCCCAAGGGAAGTCGTTCGGGGAGGCCCTCCCTAATTCCACAAGGGTGAGAAGAAACACACACGATAACGAAACGTTGAATCATGTAGAACTCGTAGGGTAAATGCAAAGCAAATTAGGAAGAATATGCAGTAAGCTAAGCGAAGAGGTAAGCAAGAGACATGTTAGACTATACTACAACTACTCAACATGTTAGTAAGTACTACTACTACACTACTACTATGACAAAAAAATAATAAAAACATATACAATCTACAATTACTTCAAATAAAATGAACAAAAACACGCATGCAAAATAAAAAATATATCAAATTAACTATATAAAAACTACAAGAAACTACAAAAAAAAACATGCAAAATAAAAAATTAATTTGAATAAAATGAACTTAATGAATTCTACTAGATAGAGCATGCAAGATAAAGAACTATTTCAACTACTGGGTCATCTTTGTCTTCTCCAACGTCGATCTGAAACAGATAGGGTGGTAACAGATTAATAAAGAGCTATTAATATTAATTATATTATATACTCTTACCTTAGTAAACAGTAGACTACTGTAAAGTTCCCAAGTTTGCATGTGTGAAAAGCAAACTAAATCCAGAAGGAATATCATAGCAGAAAACATGTTTCAGTGATGTAAAGCCCATAAGTGTAATGCACAAGCCAAATCCAGGAGGGATACCACGGCAGACGATCTGTTGTTTTGGTGGTTTCCAAATTCATTTCCAGTTGTCTTTCCCTTGCGTCAAAAGCATCGGTTGTTTCAATTAACTGTAATTCCTCCTCATGAATAATCTACAAAAATGGAGTTGAAAAAGTAATTAATTACCACTTTCAATGTAAGTAAATCAGTAATATAAAGGTCAGCTCCACATTCATTCTGCTATTCTGCTTTTGCCATTTCTGAAACGTTGTTTAAAACTTGTCTATTGAAACTAAGTTACAAATATCTAACAAGCTGAAGTTTCTGCAACCTTTTTGCTATTTTAAATTAGTACATACTGTTACTTACCAATTGATTCTCATAAACTTTTCCTTTTTGTAACAAACAATTTCCAATGGGAAAAAGGCATTTTCATGCTTTCTTTGGGAACATAGATACAGCTACTTTCTGAAGCGAATGAAGACTGAAACAACCAAGACTCCTTAACTTAATGGCATCCGAAGTTTTTATCCTGTAAGATGAAAACTTATTAAAGAGTATTCAGTCACTTTCATGATTCTTCTTTGTACCTAGCACACATATAATTATTTAATTTTAGTATTAATTCCAACAACCATTTATAATTTTGTTATGCATATTATCAATAATTAGCAAATCAAATGAAGTAAAATCATTACAAGCTGAAATCTTTAAAATCTTATCTTAAGTTTTGCAAGATTCTTTATTAGTGTAAAAGAACTCATACACCAAGAACCTTGGTATTGTAAAGCCTATTTAAAAACAAGTATTTTAATTACTTTATAACAATTATATACTTCTACTGTAGTATATATATATTGAAAGTAATAAACCTTATTTTCAACTTTACAGAACCGTTTAAACAGTTACCAGAATGTTTCAAACAAAGAATTACGTACATACTTATTTTTAAATATTTTCAGCCATCTCACCTTGTTGATGAATAAATAAATGAATAAAGCAGGTACTAGAAACAGCCAGAAATTAGTCCAATTATTTGAATGCAAAAACAGTTCATTCATCAAATTTAAACCATCCTACCTTTGGATCCAATCTGTTATGTCCTATTTTTCACCACACAATCGTTTCTAGTTTAGACAACAAGGTTTCTTAAGACAGGAATGAAATACACTGTCTCTGTAGCTTGATCCAATCCGTTGACCTCCTACTCCGGGTACTATATCCTTAATAAAGTTTGAGATGAAGAGGTCCCAAAACAGCACTAATTGTTAGATATACTAGAAGTACCATTTTCTAAAAAAAAAAAAAGAGAATAGAAAATTTCCTAACCCACTTTATAATATTGTAAAAAGTGGCATATTATAAATTACATATAAATGAAGTCAAATCTAATGAAATCAAGTTTTTTTACAAAGAAAAATTTGATAACCCGTGTACTTAACATTCTAAGGAGGTACTACACATAATAACCACTGGGAAAACAATAAATTTCCGAAAAACCCATATCGTAATCAGCTATATAATTACGAAGATTTCGATCAGAAATTTTTACACAGGAATTTTAATTTCTTACTTTTAAAATCCACATCTATGCACCACACTACGCTAAAAATCCATTGTTTACGCACCCTAAACATATCTAAAATACATATTCTAAAATATTACACATAATTTACACATGTATCTGTTTAAGACCACTACCAGCACCACCTATCAGAAAATAATCGAATTAAATCAAAAATGAGTCAGTCGTTCCTTTTTTTTAATTAAAATTAACTATTCCCTATATAATAAATGATTGTCTAATTAGATATTTGCGACAAAGAGATTCTCAAATATATCGATAATAAATATAAACCATATAACTAAATTTCATTAAAACTCGATAATTACTGAAACTACTTCTCACTTACCGGAGAATTAGCGCAAGGGTAAAAAGTATGTTTACTAAAAATTCTACGATATTTTGCCACATTCAATTTTTTGTGAAGGTCTTAAAAAAAACTCCTTACCTCAGTATTTAAACCCCAACATTTCAATTTTTGTAAACTTCTAATAGTACTTTTGATGACCATCTTAGTAAAACAATTAACATCATTTAACAAATTGTAATTGTTCATTTGTCTTTACAAACGTCCGCATTAAATAATTAGTTATGTAGTTAGAAAATATTGTTTCCAAATTATTCTATTTAGTTCGTTTATTAGGTTTTTCTTATATATTATTCAATTCATAATTAATTACAAATTCTGTTTCCTTTTTTTAAGTACTGAAGCAATAACAACTTTGAACATATTTATTCGTAATTTACAAAATTTGTACCGAAATGTTTAGTAACGAATTAAAATTGACATTACATAATAATCAATACACAGTCTCATTTATTCAACTATTTCATTTTTAGTTGCCGATTTATTGTTAAAATCACTACTCTATCCACACATTTTTTTTGCTAGACCGTATATGAAAATACCTACATACGTAATTATAACATGTAGAGAAGAAATTATTATTAAAATACGAACTTAGAAATTATTACCAATTTTAAATAATCATTTATTTATTTTTATTTAAACACAAAAATAAAACTCCAGCAAATATTTGTCTAGAAGTAATAAAGGGTCAGAAGACAAAATTTAGAGTTTATTTGCGTCCTATTACCTACGAAATGTAGTATCAAAACAATAAACTAATAAAATTATAGCTACGCGTAAATTGAAAAAAATCTTAATTCAGGAGTGTTTTCCTGCAGTTAAACCAATATTCTAAATATATGAAAAAAAAATTCGATCAGTTTATAAAAACATACGTTATTCTGCAGTAGGTAGTTTAAGTAATTTGTAGACCTAAGCTAACCTATCACAGTTTCACTTAATATTTCCATAATTTCAATCAAAAATTAAAATTATCGTTTACCAGTCGCCTGAAAATTGGCGGCTATTCTCATTTTTCTTTCTCCTCTACGTCGCATTGGTGCTCCCTTTGAGCTCTGACTTGTAACACATTTTTCAGTTTCTTGGTCGTCTTCTTTTAGTTTATTTTTGTTCTCTGTCACCGTTAAATTGGCAGTTGTATTACTTTCAACACTTCTATTACTTCCACTCTTTGTTCTATTTCTAATTGCTTGAAGTGGCACGAAACTGTTGACAGATAGTACTTGCCTCTGGCCTTTACTACCGCTGTTGTTCACGGTGTTGTTACTTGTCTCTAAATTGGTGCTATCTTTTTTTTTGTTAAATTCCACATTACCACTTCTTTCTATTTTTTTCTCCTGAAAATACCATAATCAATTAAATGTTTTAAACAAGAGTAACTTATTTGTAATTACAAAGAATTAAATTTTATAACGCTGTAAATGATGCTAACAAAATGATAAATAATAAAAATAATTTTTTTTCAAATTTAATTTTGTTTTAATACCTTATGTACCTTTTCCCTGACTGTTTTATCATTTTCCGCTTTTCTTTGTAATACTTCTGTCTGCTTTTGTATGCGTAAAGTGTGCGATTCCTCTACTTTCTGAAAATAAGAAAAAGAAATGGGCATCTACCTTTGTGTGAATTTCCAGTAAATAATTCGTTTTTTTTTTCATTATTCAAATATAAATTGAACTAAAGGACGGAAGAGCTATTAGGGGAAGATCAATTTGGGTTTAGAAGAAATAGAGGAACGCGAGAGGCTATTCTAGCTTTACGGGTAACAATAGAGAAAACAATAGGAAAAGGAAAGAGTGCGTACATCGGATTTGTAGATTTAGAAAAAGATTTTGACAATGTTAAATGGGACAAGATGTTAAATATACTTAAAAATGTAGGGATGAGTTACAAAGATAGAAGAGTAATACTTAGTTTATATAAAGAGCAACAAGCAGTTATAGAGCCTGAGCTGTAATGTAGAGAAGCAAATATTAGGAAGGGAGTCAGACAGGGATGCACACAGTCACCGCTACTTTTTAATCTATACATCGAAGACGCGATCAAGAACATTAAAGACAGTACAGCTGTAGGGATAGATATACAGGGGCAAAAGATTAGTATGTTTAGATTTGCAGATGATATAGAAGTATTAGCATCTATACAAAGGAGTTAGAGATAGTCTTAAATAAAATGGGAACGGTACTGACAAAACAATACTGTATGAAAATAAATAAAAGTAAAACAAAAATACTGGTACGCAAGGGAAGAGAAAGCAGGGAAAGAGCGAATATAAAGATATGATTATGATGATGAAACTGAACTGTACTTTTATGACATTTTAAATTATCATTTCAAATCATGTAAATGTTAGGCAAATTTAGTATGCTTCAGAATAAAGCCTAAAATAAATGTATAGAATACTTCAGAAATAGATAAGCAATTTAATTATTAAATTGTTAACAAAAAAGTTACACAATCAATTAATAATTCCCAATATTTTCTTAGTATATTATAACATTGATCTTAATTCTTTCAGTAGCAAAGAATTTTAAGAATTCAAATTTTATAACGAAAATTCATCAAAACTATAAAATAAATACTGTCAACTCACATTGTCCCTTGTTAAAATTTTTAACGCTTCCGCAGCAGCACTATCGCAAGCGTTTTCTTTAGATTGGCAGGCATTTCCAGAGACAACGCTCCCATCAGGAAGAGTAATCTGTGCCTGGAACATTTTCTTGGGCAGTTCAAAGAACTGATATCTGGGACAACCCAGGTCCAAAGATTTATAATAATTTAAAAGTTTAGCTGTGGAAAAGGCGTTGTCAGATAAGGTTTGAGCTTTATTTCTGGCATGCTGAAATTTATAAAAGTATACACCATTTAATTCTAAAGATTTTTAATTAAAATATAAATAAATGAGTGATTTGAAACAATTCAAAAACATAAATACTTACAGCAAATATATCCTGAACATTTAAAGGAGTTGACTGCTCTAATTTTGAAGGTTTTTCTATTTCTTTGACAGGAGTTTGTTTAAATGCAGTTACAGGAATACGCTGGTTTGCTCCTTCGTTTATTCGAAGCATTTTTTTTAAAAGTTCTGTATCCACCTTGGTCTGCAATAAACAATTGCATTTATTAAATCAGGGAAAGACAAATTTATTCACGGGTTAATTCTATACGTAACGAATAGAAAGACAAAACTACCCCAATTACCGAGGGCCTAGGATGTTCCTCTTTAGTCACTTGCATAGGTTCTCGCATTGCTGTACTTGATCCACTGGGAGTTGATGTTATATTATTTTGAGTCTAAAACAAATAGAAAATTTTGGTAAGTATTTCTACGAAAAGGCTAACCAAAACCAATATTGACCTAAAAACATACATATTTCGGTACAACTTCGTTTCCATGGTTCACAATCACATGAAAAAATGTGTACAATACCCCAACGATAACACCACACATGTGAGGAGTATGTTTAACATCAAGAGAATTTTTTTCAAGCATAATATAATTCATTGACGATTAAATACTAAATATAATAAATACCATTTGAAAGCATACTATTTTTTCTAGTCGAATAAATAATAAAAGAATTTTAATAATGTTCTTACGTTATAAGATAAGGGAGCCCCTTTCACCCGTTTCTGCTCATAAAAATGTTTCCCTGGCGACGATCCTTTAGCGAATCCCGGCATAAAGTTGTGACAGTTTTGCATGGATATGGATGAACCAAAAGATGGTCCACTTTTGGAAGGAGGATGGTCAACGCTAGATTGTTGCTGAGTAGAAGGAACAAAAGATGGCTTTGGAGGATACGGCCCTCCATTATTTCTTACATCGTAAGGGACAATATGGAAACGAGGATGGCCACATTGTTGAGGAGGAATAAGCGAAGGACCGTTATTGTTGTACAAAAGTGGAGGCCGAAAATTACCATAATTGGATACGGGAGAGTTTGGGAAGCCCCATTGTTGATATGGGCTTGCACTAGAAGGTCGAAAATGGCCACTGGGGCGAGATATGGCTCCATTTTGCATGTAATAATTTTTATGATATTGTGGATCAGTGTTTAAATTTTGCAGTAACTGACCTTAAAAAGATAATAAAAAAATTATATATTTGTTATTTGTAAAAAGAAGTTTCCCTAATATATAACAAGATCCGATTCGTTTTGTGTAATAAACTGGAAACTATCAAAAGATAAAATAAGATCACTTTTCGATTTTAAACGAAAAAAGAATCAGTCTCATCTATTCTTATCACCATGTTTTCTCAAACACAAAACTTACCTGGGACTACTCCCGTTTTCTGATTCAACATCCTTTCACCATGTGATATATTAATCATTGCAGACCTAGGTAACCTGTATGCCCTGGGAGTCAAACAATTAAGCTCCAAACCCCCAGAAAATTCTTCATCGAACAAAACGTCGTACATCGTGTCTTCATCACTTGCATCTTGTGGTTTTCGGACGGCAATAATCGTTCCTTTCAATCCAACGGGAACGGTATAACTTTCCCGAATGTTTACCACCCTGTCGTATAATAAAAACGTGGTAGTTGGGTCAGGCATTAGATTTCCAATTTGAAGACCAACCTAAAACAATTATAATAAAAACATCCTTTAAAATATGGAAAAAAGTTCAGTAAAACTTTAGTACCATAAAGTTAAAAATGTATGCTTTACTTTACAGCAATAGTAATTTTCTTACGTTTCTTTAAAAATTTGAGAAATGACACATGATATTTAAACGAATGCATCTCAGGTGAAATTAATGCAGAACGTTTTTCTGTAAGAGATGTTAAAAATAATAAACAATGTAAGACTTTTTCAAGGTAGGTTTTTGAAATCAGTATATGGTATACTTAATTTGATTGTGACATACTAACTTCAAAAACCTACTTTAAAAAAGATTTACATCCAAGACAAAGCATCTGTATGGGTTTTAAAAAATTAAGGAAACAACCCTTACTGAGTTTTATTTTCCACACAATTTAAAATAAGAAAAGATATTAAGAATATAAAAAAATACCTACCACATAAAGAAGGTGTGGTTTCACTTCCATGACAACCTTCCTAATCTTAGATCTTTTCTTAAATTTGTCGATTATTTCCTCGATTTTCTTAATCACGTCCGGATAAAGTCCTATACTACCACAGACTTGCCTCTCGACCGAATAGAACGGTTGTTTTTTAATCCATGCCGTTATCTCTTTTATTTGCTCCTTTCTTTATAAATAGTTTACAAATTAAAAATAAAATAAAAAAATTCTTTTACAAGTTTTAATTTCAACGAAATGACTTAAGACAATTACTGTTTCCTATTCATTGTCTAACATCCATGACAAAAATTAATCTTTTAAAATAATTTTCACATTATACACATGTTGAAGGCAAATTCATTAAATGATCAATGTTTTATTTGCCAACTGAAACTGATATTTAAAGACATAAGCTTACCCATCACCATCAGGATAGATATCTTCTTCAAAATATACGTCATTTCCTTGGTTTTGATTTAAATATTGAACCAAAGTAGGGAAACGTTGCAAATAATTTTCAACCAGGGCGACTGCTTTTTCCGAGTACATCCACGTGTTGGCATCTTTTCTGGTATATCCAGGTATCTCTTCATTTTTCTTAGTCAGTTTTAGATTTAGTCCAATATTTATTTTTGGCAATTCATTAGACTCCATAGGGATATTTCGGTAGCCAGTGGGAATGACGAAGATACATCCAGTTATTCGCGAAAACAGACTCTTTGAAATTGCTAAAAAATCGACACTAATTGTCAGTTACCAAGTTCTAATGTAAATATTATTAAGATTTATATAAAATATAATGCTTTGACTTAATAGTGTATTTAATGAAACGCTTATAATATAAACAATAATTAACGTGGGAAAAATGTCTGTAAGTTAAATACCGCTGATCTTTAAGAAGTCCTTGACTAATATAGCAAAAGAAATTTTGCGACTCATTATAAAATTATAAAATAGAAGATAATAGTGTTAATATATTGAGCAGACTGAAAACAACTAACAAAATAAATCGAACGAACGTAGTATTAAAGTTCATTTCTTGTGCTCCAAATGTTTAATACTTTAAATTTATGTAACTTACATAATTTTGCAGCAGCAACCTGTAAAGGTATATATCGGGTTGCGATTTCATGAGCCAAATCTTTTGCTTCGGTGAAATCTGGTTCATCAGTCTTTTTCATATCTACTTTTATTCGAACATTTTTCAAAGATTCTTTACTTTCAAGTACCTAAAAAAGGATACATATTATTCATTATTATTAAAAACTGTAGATAACAATGTACAATTAATTAAATAAAGGAATTATTTGTAAAAGTTAAAAATACGTATACGTACTTATATTTATATTTGAAATACTTAAAATGCAAAATTATTTCGCAACACATGACGATTAACTGATCGATATTACTAAATCATAACCGTTTCAAAAAGCAGCACTGGGTAGAATTTAGAAACTTTAATATTTATAGAATATCGCATGGAAATGTGCATATTTTGTATTGGAATATTTTCATTTACTATCTACATAATAATAATTATTTACCTACATGATATAATTTGCTTATCATATGGTGATAATATAAATCTTGCTAAAGTATATTAATAATGGGTACAAGATAGAATAAAGCCTTTGTGTTTTCATTATTTTTTCCTTAAATTTGGCATGAATAGAATCACAGCCTAATGAGGGCTGTAAGCGTTCTATAACAACCCTTTATTTGTGTCCCATTTTTGTCTTACACGCTGACCAAAGAACAACATTGCGACGGAGATATATTGTAATAATTGTTATCAAAAACATAACTCTACATAAGTTTTACAACCTTTTGCTTTCTCGTTATCTTGATCTACCTAATAATTAATAAGTGATAGAAATTAATTAATGATTAGGTCTACGTACAAATATAAAACTTAATCATCCTCATAGCGATATTTTGTTGGTCAAACTAGAGTAAAGAAATGTTGTACATATTTTATAAGGATCCCTTTTTAGTGGGGATAAATCCTTCTGCCTGTTAGTCATATTTAATTAATGGGACACTAGCATAAACAGTTTTTATAGTCCGGTAGATAGTCTGGTTGGGGAAATTCCTCTTAGTGAGTTCTTATTTACCTTTTCTATTAATATAAAACAGTAACCATAACATGTTGAATTATTCAACGCAATTTGGACTCCTATTAAAGTACAATTAATCATAACTATCCCTCCAAAAATTAGTTTGCTATTAAATTTAACTAATATTACCAAGTTCAAATTAAGTATACGTACAATGATATTATCACAAAGGAAAATTCAACCAGAATAAGAATGAATTTAAACGAAAATACTAAAATAATTTTATAAGTTGATCTTGTGTTGATTAATTTCGCAATTATAAACAAATATATATTAATATAGATGCTCAGATAAAATATTAATTTTAATAAAATTTAATCTTACTTCACCAACAGCTCCATAATAAGGTTGTCCTAGCATGAAACACTTTGTTCCTACAGAAAAAATGTTTCCAATACTTTTGTACATTTCATATTTCTTTTCGTATACAGCTATGTTTTGGACCACTGCTTGTAAAGGGTACGCGCTTTCGATTACTGCCCACTGTTTTTCCAAATTAACACGACCCTGTGGGGTGAAGGCATATTTTCGACCAATCATTACCCTCACATGAACCAAAACTTGTGTTTCACCTACATTTATTCCCAAACGGCTCATGTAACTGAAAACATATGTAAAGAAATTAACAAATTATAAATAATTTAAAGAATAACTGTGTAATGAATAACCATCTTAAATTATATTTTGAGTATCAATCCATTTTAAACTACATATACTTATTAAGCCAGCATATAAGATAAAGAATATTAAGCTTACTATTGAGTTATCCCTCTGACTTGAGATCTCCAAACGGTTAAAGAATTACCTTTATTTTCTTCAACGTTGTATTGACCTTTTTCGCTTGCAGCAATGTAACGGTATTCTTCATTGGAAATGGATACAACCCTAGTAGAACAAAAAATTATCCAGAATATTATATGTATTCAAAAATTTTTAATTAATTGGTTCGTTAATCAGGGTCTCTGGGCGCATAATAACAATATGTAATTATTATTATTAATACATTTTAGTACAATTATAATTATTATTATTGTTATTCTATATAAAGAGAAACTAAAACTAAATTTTGATATTTAGAAAACTAAAATCAATACTCACAGAGCTTCCACAAGATGAGGCCAACTAACATATACAACACTACCCAGCATTTTCTTGGCCAAAACATCAATTGCAGGCACATCTTTTTTTGGAACAATACTTACAATCATGTTTTCATTTCTACTTGCTTGTTCAAATACCTTTACCTTTGCCTTGCCTAAAACTGCCTATAATAAAAAGTAAAAAAAGTACATCCAGCAGATTTCAAAATTAACAAAGAAGCACGTACAGTATACTCCAAGTGTTTCATAGTTGGAAAACCAGGATAAAATACATCCATTTTCACACCCGGGTATGACCCTTTGATTAATTTATCCATCGGAACTCGGATATTTTCTATCGGTACCTTGGTACATTTAGCATGTGATACTGCTAAGGCAGGGAAATAATCAGGTGCTTCATATCTACCGGTATCATCAACGGAATATTCGTAAATTAACATGGGACCATGACTATTACGTTGTTTTTCATCCGGACTTAGTCTTTCATTACACTGTTCCATTCCTTCTAGTAATATTTTCTTGAAATACAAAACAATTTCTTCAAATCATATCAAACATATTTTAAATAGTTTTTCATATTATTTCATTAACACGTATATGAATGGTGAAGTTTGTCGAGGATTTTTTCAGTATTTAGTATAAAAGCAGGGTAATTAAACTTATATCATTCCAAAGGTACTGTGATGTTTATGTGTTGTATATATTGACAAAATAAAAATCGTATTGCCATTGCTTAGGTCCAAGTTTTCGCCGATGTTATGCCTTTTTTATGTTCAAATAATATAATGAAATAGTCCAATTACCTCATCAATAAATGGTATAAGAACAACCGCTTCCCATTCTTGTCTTTTCCCGTTCAAATCTGTCTGAAAATTTTCAGGATAGTACTTTTTTAATGGAGAATCTTCTTTGGTCATCAGGTCCTGATAAGCTTCTGGAAGAAGATTTTTACTGGCCGATGGAAGAACCGCCAAGAGCTAAAAAATAATAACTGGTTATTACTCATAAATCAACAAAACATGTAAAAGCAAAATGGTTTCATAGTCGTAATAAATCTTATACCCTACATTAGCTGGATTTTTGCCTCTTAATAAACACTCACTTGTTCAAAAGGTTTAAAAGGTTTTCCCAGATCAAATTTCAACTTCAAATCCTTAAAACCCTGAATGTCAGAAACATATGGAGCATAGTGATGAGGATAATACCAGGACCATGAACAAACTCCATTATAATAGTAATGTAAATTCCACTGAATGGCTCTAACATAACCTTCAGCTTGGGCTTTTAATACTTCTCTAGAAAAAAAGATTTGACATTAGAAAATTAAAATTATTTTTATAAAAGAAAAAACTCACTGAGTTACTTGTTCATATTCTAACTTATTCATGTAATAATCAGTCTTGTGTTGTTTGAATTCAGCTAAGAAAAGATCATTATCAGAGTCCGACGTATCTGATTCATCCAATCGGTCTTCCCAATTTTCTACAACACCATTTTCAGAACTAGCATTATTGCCTAGTGCAATTTCACCGTTACCAGTAACATTTTTATCCTTAAAAAAAATAATTTTTATAAACACATTAAATGCCTCCTAAACAAACGACAATACTTTTTCAATAGATTCATTCTTTATTTCAATGTCATTTTCTGATTTCTTTTCTACATTATTTGATTTTTCTTCGACATTGTTTATCTGTAAAACAAAAATGTGTAATCAATCAAATAAGATTTTAAACAACTTACTTCTGGTTTATCTTCTAATTCAAATGGTATCAAAACTTTTTCCTAAAAATTAAACAAAGAAGTAATTACATGTACTAAAATATTCATTACTTATCAATTATTACAACCAAAAAATTAGTCAATGGTTACATACATTCTTTTCCTTGCCATTAAAATCTCTACCAGTTTTTGCCTCAAACCATTTCAGATCAGCATACTGGTCAGAAAAATTTTCGATATCAATTTCAGCAAGTTCTTTCATAAATTCTTCAAATCGTTCCAAATTTAAAGTGCCACTTTCATTGATATATCCTATAGTTTAAGTATTTAAGAGTTGTTTACTAACACAATAAATGACATACCCCCTAATTTTGGAAGCGCCTTCATGTAAGCCTTGTACAAAACAGGTAAAGCTCCATTTGCTATATGCATATTTGGCAAGTTAGGAATAAAATCATTACCCACTAAAAATCCCATTAAAACCTACAATTATTTAGAATTTAGTTGATCTAAAGAATTATACTAAAAATTTCTTTTTACCCAATCATCTATGATCCGTTCCAAATCATATGGGAATGGTAAATCTTTTTGTAATGGTAAAAATTCTAATTCTAAATATTCCCTCATGAGGGATAAGTGAAGTAAAAAAAATGTCATCTGTTCAGGTATATTTTTCCGCCTTGTAGATTTTTTACCAAATTTTACCTACAAAATCATTGATTTAAAATAACATTTTAAAGCATCTTATAATAGTGTACCTCCTCTCGAAGTAATGAGAAATGTGGTTCATGGGTGCATAAACCTAGCATTATAAGATCAGCATCTAAACCATACAGGCAATGTCTAGTATTTGGATCATAACCTGGTTGAGATCTCATATACCTGATATAGTCCATAATTTTATGTTCTCCTTCACCTGGAGTCTAAGTAACAAATTATAGAAGGAATGTAGCCTCTTGGATGCAAGTGTCAAAGTATGATTACCTAATTGTGGATTGTTAGGTCATGTATAAAAAGTAATTTTACCTTATGTTTTATTTATACTCATAGAAGTTATTATGAATGAAGATAAAATATCTTTTTTAAGGGGCAAAATTGACTATGATTTCTATGAAAATGTAACATGAGGTGCAATTGTCTTTCAACCACTATCTAACAATTTACAGATGATGATGATGTTTTGTTTTTTCAATTAACAATTTTCTTTTATAAATATTTAAGCAAATTGAGTGAATACACTTACCTCATGTCCAGATAAAACAATTTTACACTTTTGCCACAATGGATCTGTAGAAATCTTAGTAACAATGAAATATTTTAATTGTTCTTGCAACTTGACCATAAATTCAGTTCCTGGTGTTATACAGTTTGAATCAAATCTGGCTTGTGTCGGAAGTTTCTCTCCTTTTGCTAAAGCTTTCTGCTCCAATTCTAATGCCTCTTTTGCTGTCCTAAATCTACGACCACGTTGCTGATTCATCTTTGCCCTGGGAGCTACTCCGTCAACTGCCATAAAGAATAATTTCTGTGGCTTTATCATTCGAAAGAGTACTTCAATATAGTGAAAAATATCTCTGAATATTTTTTCTTCCGTAATACGAAAATGTGGGTCTCCATCGTCTGGATGTGAGCAAGTATGTATAATTCCATTCATATCCAGGTATAAATTATCAAATTCCGGCAGCTGGAGTAAAAAAATCATACGAATTTGAATGATTGAAATGCAAGATTCATATAAAACATACCTGGTACTCTTTCACAACCTCACTTAGACACGGATATCTTTCACTAATATATCTAAAAAATTTCGGAACACCCATTTTAATTATAAATATATAAATATATTTGTATTATATGGTTAAATCACTTGTAGAAACTTTTCACTAAAACATATATTTGTGAAATGTCAACAATAGATAAGTATGAAATAAGGGTCAACCATGTGTCAAATTGTTGAGTGTCCTTCAATTGTCAATTGTCGCCAACCTATACTGATAGTACCAACATACCAACTTCACCAATTTCGTAAATCAATTCATTGGCGTAGAACTACGGTTAGAATAAAATTTAATTTTAAACTAATAATAAAAAATAGAACAGAACTAACAAAGATCTGTATCGATAAAAACATAGACGCTTGTATAACTAAAGTGTAATTTGTAATCTTTATTTTTTTATTCATAGGATATGAATATTCCGTACATTCATTCCCATTTATTATTTTTTAAGGTGTTGTAAATTGAAAAAAAAAACAATTAAAAAAGTTTGCTATTATTTATAAAACTATTAATTTTATTCACACTTACAAAAATAGAACAGTCATTTTGACAAAATGCAGAACAATTTTATTTGGTTAAAGCTGTCTAATTATTATAGCCTCATCTATATTACTAGCTAGTAGCTGCTTAATTAATAATAAATTAAAAAACTTGTTATAGCGTAATAAATAATTGTAAATTATTACAGATATTAAAAATTGAACAAAAGGACAAAATATGACAATTATTGACTTCTGTACTACTTTAAGGGAAAAGACCGTACGTCGTTAGCAGAGATAAGGTCCGTCGTCTATATTTAAACCAATGACTTTAATTAATTGTTAAATATCTATTATTTTCATTAAAAACAAATTTAATATTATTCATTACCAGACCAGCTAATTGACATAGAAACGCCTTTTCCTGATAGAGCAAAGCATCTGAACTTTATTATATATTTGTTTTTGTAAGATATGGCGTCATGCATTTTTGCACATAGTAGACCATCTCTTCAAATTTTGTACTGTTTTTTTTTCGTATGAAGGCCGGAGAACCAATTTAATAGTGATTTGTTAAATAGAATTGTGTGATATAATATTCCAATGAATACCCTAAATACATAACGTAAATTTTAGGCAATTTTTACAAAACTGCGTTAATTAAAAGCACAATATGTTACTGCTCCACAAAAAGGAGTTTAACGTGCGTCCCTCATAATTTTGTATGTCATCTGTGAACGAAGTGCGGTCTTTTTATACCTAACAAAGTTAATACAACGAACATTTGAAAGTGGACAAAATTGTCTGTATATCGCCAAAAAAGGAACAAAATGAAATCTTGAAAAGTGTAAAGAACAAAATATATAAAAATAAACTTAAAAGAGAAAATTATTCTGCTTAAACTATGTTTTTTTTTTAAGAAAATACGGATACTCACATAAAATAGTCACAATGAAACTAAAATAAAACAATAATGTTGACAGGGTTTGTCGTAACATATTGTATACTATTCATTTGTACACACAAAATAAACGCTTTCAGATAAAATAATAATAAATAATTATTGTATTAATTGTAAAAGTATTTTTCATTAGAAAATATTTTCTAAATTAAAACTCTTTTTGGCTTTTAATGTAATTAAACAATAATTTAAAAGCCATTCGTTGGAATCGTTCATATCATTGGAACAGTTTCCAAATTCATCGTCAGTTTCTATCGCTTTGACAATTAAAATTCGATTATTCTAATTCATAAAATCCAGCTAGATCTCATAATATGTATCTAGTATTTAGGTGATCAATTTCGTCAAATTAACTGATATATTTTATTACTAACATTTCTTATATTCCGTCTAAAGCATTTTCACATTAGGTCACATAACTATTGTAGTCCTCTCTAGCTCTTTTATAATGACATCATATCGGTATACATTTACAAGTTTTTAAAACTTATTCCAGGAGCATATACAGTCTAACTTTTTGTACCGCTTTTTTATCTGATTACCTTAAATAACTAAATTTCAGATTTCATCAAATCATATCACTCTTTTACTTTTAGGGCTTGAATATTGTAGCTGTGCGAAAAAAGTCGATAAAAACAATAACAAATTTGAAAGTTTTACCTTTATGACATCACAATATTAGCAACTGATCCTCTGTATTTTACGTTCTCCCTGTTGATGTACGACATAATATAACATGGTCGATCCCAAACATCTTTAATTTTAGTAATTTTTAATTAATCGCACTTGTGCGTGATAAGAGGAAACCGTACAATCCTGAGTTCGTTGCCGAAATCGCACAGAACCGAATCCCGCAGCATGATCATTTGATTGACAAACACAAGAGCTGAGCGTCCCAAAACGATCGTTCTTACGCACTCGCCCGTACGCACGTCCCACACCACGAGACCACCTTGTCGCGTTGTGAGTACTAAATGTGGTGTCAACATCATAACTTTCGTAGGAAAACTGTTCGAAACGTTGATGGTGTTTAATAAATGCCCTTGAAATCGTTCCCAAATGCAAAGACGCTCATCCATTCCGAGCGATATTACGTAACTAGCTGAGTACGTAAGCGAAGTAATGGCACCGTCGTGAGCTTTATTACTATACATGCAAGCTCCTGAAAAGAATATAGACATATTAATGAAAGAAAAGCTCTAATAAAGCTATATAATATTATAATTTTTAAATATATGTTTAGCAAACTCGTGAAAGTATCATAACGTAACCCCGCATAATGTGAACAGCGTATTAATTATAACAGATCTTCGTAGACTGGGAATAAACTAAACTTTCTGTTATAGAAACGAATGTTTATTGACTTTAAAAATCGATATTTCGTTGTTGCTGCCCCACTATTACTGTAAATAATATTAATGATAGACAATGTATTACGTATTTAGGCAAAAAATATGGTGTTGCAAAATATGTATATAATTTATAAGTTAAAACAAAAACGAAAATAATCTCTAAAGCTTAGAGGTACAAAGGTAATAAAACGAAAAACATTAAAGAGTTTGGAGCTTATCAGAATAGAAAAAAGTTGTATAAGCAGTAATAAACTATTGAATTGAATTAAAAAATTAATTAAGAATTAAATTGGAAGTGAAACATTATTTTCTAAAACCGACACATGGGGTTTTAAGCAAGCTAATTTTTGTCATAAAGGCATAACTACATCAATAGCATATTACTAAGATGTAAATACCCCTAAGTATATGCATTACTTTTATTATTCGGAGGGGTGGTAAAAATAAAATTCAAAATCCTCTAAAATAAGTCACCTTCAGTTGTGCTTACTAATAAATAAACGTTTCTATAAACATTAATAATTAAAGTACCACTTTATTTAAAAGACTTATTCCCTTACCTGTTAATAAGTCCCACACACAAAGGGTTCCATCTTGGGACCCACTACCCGAAGTGGCAGGACAAACTCGATCAATAAACAAACTGGTTATAGGTCCATAATGACCATGAAGAGTGTAGAGAGCACTTCCGTTATCTAATCTGAACACTTTTAGGGTGTGATCCTGACTGCCGGTAACTACTCGTCCTCCTTCCGAATCGAGACAAGTTATCGGCTGCTGATGAGCTTTCAATGACATTACCTTCAGACATACCATTTCTTCTAAACTTTCATCCTATACAGAAACATTTTCATTGTGATAAGCTGATAAGAAATAAAAGTATTCTTCTAATTAAATAAAAATTTAAAATTTGAGACTATTTTGGTATAACCACAGCAAAAGACTTTACCCCCTCGCTACGTTCTCTAAGGATGTCAACCACAACTGTTAGCGAAAAGTCGAAAAAACGCCTCCAATGCTATAATTTTTATAATACATAGCGGGAAGACGTTGTTAAAAAAAAAACATTCAAGGAGATATTGGAATTGCATTTTTATACCTGAAGTGTTGCGTTTTTTATTTCTGAAAGAGAACCAGCCGAAGCAGTCCTCGTGTGCGTTCTTCGATATGCTGACGTAAAATTCCAGTCTACAGGTCTACCATGGTTAAAAGTCTGTAACTGTAAAAAGTCGACAGTACCAAGTAATCGAACGACCACAGCCCTGGAACCTATTATTTTTATTGATGTTATGGCTACTCCTGAATTGTCATTATATAAGCACTGAAAAAAAAAACACAATTCAGACAACACCAAAGGCAATCCTACTTATTATCCATGTACCTTAAATTTCCCGGTAGTCCCCTCCCAAAATTCCAACGTCCCATCTGCACACCCGATGGCGATTAAGTTATCCACATAATCCATACACCAAATCGGCGAAGGTTTGTTAACACAGTCGTTCGAGTTGATACCACCGTTTGTTGCCCTACTGTCATTAAAAAATTCGCACTTATAATTTCGCGGGGATTTCTTGAGGGCTTCATCTTTTTCTAAACAATCATAAGAAGTCATACCACCATTGTTATCTATTTCGAAATCACCACTTCGACTGTACTGTCTTTGCACATGTACCCATCGTGCCGTATCGTTATTTCGACGTTTCAAACGCTGTAGACGTTGAAATTCCGCATACAACTCGCGATAATCGTTACCAAAGTCATAGAGAGTGTTAGTTCGATCGGCTCGAAGGCGTAAACCGCTGAAGTTGATATTAATTTTATGCTGCAAACTGGGAAACGTTGGTAAAAGATCATCATGAGATGCAGGCGATCCTGACTCGTAGTCTGATAAGTTACAGTCGTCTCCATTGTCCATACTTAGCTCAGGAGATCGGCTACATGGGCCATTATTGTGCAAGCTGAAAAATAAACAGATGAAATAAGAACCAACACAATATTATTCTAGATTTATGAATTTCTTTAAGGTCATAGTTTTTTCGTCCAAATATTTCAGTGAAGCTGAAGCAGCCAACAACAAACGTTTGGAAGAACGATCATGATGAAACCCAAAAGCCCATAATAATTATAATGTTCAACTGGGTTTCCGAAGCCAATGCAAACAAAAATTCTAGTAGGTATTCTAATCATATGAGATTTCTTAACGTTTCGGCACAGCATTTCAATATCTCTACGAATTTTTATTTGTCGCTCAGACTATCTAAAAATGACAAATACTTCACCTGTTCCTGTCTATTTTTGCGAGAAGATCTCCCGTGTTGGTATCCCAGACTTTAATCTGTCCGCCAAGACATGAGCTAGCTGCTGAAAATCCGTCAGTAACGATACATTCGATTTCTTGAGGATGACCTTTTAATACTATAGGGACGGCTTCCAGTAAGACCGGTACATCATTTTCTTCTGTTTTATCTCCATTGTTGAACCACGATGCACGCCATTCGGCATAATTTCGTGAGCAAATGCAACGGTATAACACAACGAAGGTGTAAGCCATGACTATAATGCTTATAAAACATAGAATTGTTGTAAGAAATATTTCCATAGGTGAATTCGGATAAAACGGCCTTTCCGAGAGGGATAAAAGATGATCCGAGGACGAGTCACTTTCAGAATCTAATAAAATTAAAAAAAATAATGAATATTATATATAAAAGAAATTATGAGTGCTGTCAGCACAGGGCAAAGTAGCATTACGTAGTATCAGCAATTTCTTATACTGAAGTGTACGGAATTATTAATGAAAGAAAAGCTCTAATAAAGCTATATAATATTATAATTTTTAAATATATGTTTAGCAAACTCGTGAAAGTATCATAACGTAACCCCGCATAATGTGAACAGCGTATTAATTATAACAGATCTTCGTAGACTGGGAATAAACTAAACTTTCTGTTATAGAAACGAATGTTTATTGACTTTAAAAATCGATATTTCGTTGTTGCTGCCCNTTCAAACAATTTTTAATAAAAAGAAAATGATTAAACAAATTGTTCACAAAAGTGAATTTCGACCATTCGATGCAATTGTGCTATCAGTTTCAAGCTCATAGTGACTGATAAGAGGGAAGAACTTGTATTTTTAAAAATTTTTTCGATTTCGATTATGCAGATCCAGTCTTAATGATCGGTATTTAAATCCATATAGTCACTATCCTTTGGCGGTCAGTATTTAAATGCAGCTCTTTGTATTTATATACCTACTAACAAAAAATGGATTTAAATACCAACCATTTAATTTGCAGCAATTAGTAATTACCAATATAACTATAAATGGCGGTACCAATCGTGGTATAATGGAACTCAAATCTCAAATTTTTACATACTAAGTATAGGAATTCCTGTTTATGTTTAATTCAAACCGTGGTATTGTTATCGTAATTTATAATTACTAATATCAAAATATCATTATTATTATCATTATTATTATTATTATATTTTACCCTGTAATCGCCATAAGTTTCACCAACAGCAGGTCTAGTAAAATGTTGAGAAAGTGGAAAATACGATTGCCTATTTCTTTTTTTTATGATGTCATTATTATTCAGATAAAATCGGCCTAAATCGGGATTTTCTTCCACATTCCACTTTTTTATATTATCGTCCATTTCGTTGTCAAAATCATTTGGTTCTTGAACCGCCAAAGCTTTTAATTTCATTATATCTAAAGATACCTGTTCCTCGCTTGTAAGGGGATCTCTTACATAACTGAAGGGGTCTTCATCAACTTCAAAACCAGCGGCATAATTTGAATATACAATTGCGTAAAATACGGGAAGAAACTAAAAAAGAAATCAAATTATTGTAACGTTTTCAATTACTATTTAAATTAATATTTAAAAAAAAAAACCAATCATAAAATAAATATATTTTAGTAATTAGGGGCATGTTTAAAATTAATTAATGTCAGTGTTAGTGCAATCAGAAGTATGTCAAATAAACATTAGTTCTGACATTTGAAATATAAAAGTTCAACAACCCAAGCTTACGTTGAAGATTAATACCAAATTAAGAAATTAATTTTATTACTTTTGCAATTCAGTTTTGATTGCAATAATAAACCACTAAGTTAAATTAAAAATTAATGATCATTTCAAAGGTAATTGAGGAAAATGTTTTAAGAATAGTGTATTAGGTACACCTATTTGGTCTTAAATCGATACATAATTATTCAATAACACAAACAATTGTAAATGAAAACTAAAATCCAATGATAAAATCCCACAGTTTATGTACAACATTGCACAATAAAAAGCCGCCCTATTAATTATTTAATTATTAATTAAGAATAAGACTGTATCGAAAAACGTATTCATTCTAAAATATTGTAAATAAAAAGATGATGAGCAGCAATAATAAATTAATTTAATAGGAAAAATGTAACATTAAATTCCTTAAATTGCTTGAGTTTACATAAACGCTGACTGCATATCCCCTTTTTATCAGCAAAAATAAGTTAAATTCGATACTGAATTTTTTAATAAATTTCAGTGGTTTACGTAGCATTTGTTTTTGTTAAAATAAGTAAAATAATAAAAACATAACGCAAATCCATAGACCGAAAAGGTCCAATTCCTATTTGAGTAGATTATTTTTCACTTTATTTTGCACGACATAATTATCATTTTTAGGTAAAAATTATTAGCTGGGTGTTACATAGCGTTTAGGAGGAAAAGGGGTTAAGCAAAACGTTCAAAAACTGCGCTCTCTATACATGACAAGAGAAAAAAATATAAACTTGTTCTATTGTGTAATTTAATCAGGTAACAGATGCATAAACATATAAAATTACAAAACCAAAACAGTCCCTTGTCAATTGTTTTGTAGTTTTTGAAATGATTTGTACACTTATCAATATATACCTATATATCTACATTAGATAAAAAAATTAATTGATTACCAACACCTACACGACAAAATTTATTAATAATGATTTTTTCCATCTACAATATTAAAAAATTAAAACACATACGTTTAATTAACTTTTTTCATAATGAATTTATAAAAAAACAAAATCAAGATAATTTCAACAACTATTAATTAACTTGTAATGTAATTTCAAGCTTACATGTTCTATTGTCTGAACAATAAAGAAATAAATTTCATCTTGTTATTCGACGAAGTATTAATACGCGTGGAGGGGGGGGGGACTTTAAGAATCGAATAAAAATAAATAAACGGCTAATACATGGTTGATGGGACCGTTTGTCGTGTGGTGGGTGAATGTAGAGAGATTGCGAATGACTCCATTTTGATCGTTAAAAAGTAGAGACCATGGAAAAAAAAATGTTTTTAGATGCACATCTATGTAAACAATAGGAAGGACATAACCACAACAGTCACTTTGTTCATGTACTCTATTCCTACCATAATCTTATGATCCTAGGAAATCAAATCAAAGTATCCTTAAGTTAAAATTCAGTTGAGTTACACCAAGTAATATTTTCCTTAATGACTTTAATTAAAAGAACGGTTTTATTTGACTGCTTGAAATCAGAAGGTTACGGTAGAAAAAGACAACATAAATCAAATGAGCATTATCGTCCTTCGATCATGCCCTTTATCCTGTTTACTGGATTATAGATTAAAAAAAAAAACAATCACTAGGTTATAGTGGATAAAAGTTCCCCTCCTCCCCTATGCAATAAAACAGATAGAAACCCCCGAAAGACGATCCCATCTAACCATCATCGTCCACACAATTAATTTTTATTCAATTCTTCACCTACACCCTTCCGCCTCACCTAAAAATATTTTTTAAGATTCTCCAGGGTCACCCCTGCCAAATCTACCCCTTTTCCTCCACTGACTGTAGGTCTCATATTGTAAGAAATTACCGACGTTGTAGTTGTAGATATATAAAAAAATTAATCTGCTGATTAAAAATGCTAACAATTAAATAAACCTGGATAAACCTTCACATTTTTCCAAATCAATTGGCAATTAAGTACATATGTCGTATGCCTTCTTTTAACTTGTAAAATATTAAGTTTTTGTTAACATTTAAATTATCGTAACTTAACATTAAAAATATTTAAAAACACTGACAATATTTGAAAGGTCAAAAGCGCAACACCACCTTATCACTAAAAGTTTTACTTATCATCAACTTAACCGCTGAAAAGAAATACTGCAAAACAATTTCCTTTTTTTCATTTTGTAAAGTAATAAATTATTATTAGAAAATAACACATGTTATTACAAGAATTTGACGTGTGCTTTTTAAAAGGTCACTATTATATGCACATTACATAAGTAACTTTTTTTTATAGTTGTTTAAACTACAAATTTAATTTCGTTCTATTTTTAACGCTTTTTTTTCTCGGATTTACGTAAACTAAATCGTAAGTACTTAATTACTATTGCATTAAAACATCCAAAAATATAATTAGTATGCAAAATATTTTCAAGGAATAAGCAAAACAAGACGTATTATAATTATGGATATGTATACATATATGTTTAGTAAACAGAAAAAAAAACTTGAAATATCTTACGTATTTCTAAACAATACAAGTACTTCAACAATGTGACAAATATTAGTTGGAAAAATGAATAAAACAGCAATTAATAGATAACTTAACACATTGTAAGCAACTTTAAAATTTTGTTTTCACATAATAATATTCCATGAAATAGTTTATCAGTAACACACATATATATATATTGACCGACCGCTTAATATGGAGTAACTGCAGTGTTAAATTTGGTTTTCATATTAAATTTTCTATAGGAAAGTTTGGATATAATGACTCCGTTTAAAATGACATATCGTTTATTATGACTGATTCTCAAGAAATTATATCCGGCTATAGTGACCCAAATGATTAATAATAACACTTTTGCTAGTTTTTCTGACCCTTCTTATGTACATTGATATAAAAATTCATCGTTCTTTTTCTTTTTCTGTTAATAAATGTATACAATTTGTAGTTTTTCTCCCTATTAAACTAAATAACTAACCAAAATAGAAAGTTGTTTATTTTCTAAGGCTATGCTTTATATGACGCCCGCTTAGTACGACGTGTTTATCATTTACTTTCGATGTCATTATAAGCGGAATCTACTATAATTGCAAAAAGTAAGTAACACGCCAACGAACCTTTTGTACTATCTGTATTTATATATTTGACCTACATATAATCTACCCTGAAGAAGCTTTAACACCATAAAGCGAAACATCGGTATATTAAATAATAATTAAATTAAATGTAACATTAAATTCCTTAAATTGCTTGAGTTGTCCAGTCGATAATTATTTGAGGAAGAAATACGAAAGTGTACCGAATAAAATAAAGGCTCACATTGATTCTATATGATTTTGCTGATGTTGAATCATATAAATGACGAAATAAAAACAAACTCTAATTTCCGAAAACGAATAGATATTACAATGTAACTTACCAGTAAAGTCGATAGGGTCCAATGCAGCCGCCAGCGCCTGCCATTGGAACTTCTGTCCATACACTTCCTCGGAATTCCTCAAAAGAGCTGCCTGTTCAGGACTGATTGCATGGGACAACTTTATACTTGGTAAAATCACCACTGATCGACCACTTACAGAAATGTTGTACTTCTTCAAAATTGTCGGCCAATGTTGGGCGGACAAACGACGCGATGTCGAAAACTCTGGATGCCGTAACTTTCTTAATTCCTCCGTGTGATTTTTCTGTTTCATAATGTCAGATTCCGAAACAGTATCGGTCAAAAAATTCACATTCAACGTGCGATTTAACTGCGGCCGAAACTTAAGCGAACGTTCTTCACTGGAACGATCATTTGTACGATTTTCGGCGACCCGACTGTCCAAAAAGTAATTCTCCACGATTCCACTGTCGTACAGAATGCGTCCTATCCACACCACCATTAAAAACATAAAGGCACGTTGAAAAAAACGCGTTCGAGCCCAAATGTTAACCAGCTTCACTCTTTTCGGTATCCGCCGGTCCAACTGATGACTCTGACTGGCCACCACGTCCGTGTGAGCCGATGACAATTTAGGATGCGATTTTGACCGGTTCATGCCCGTATTGAGTGTCTTTTCGGGATAAAAGTGACCCTGATACAGGGCATTTCGGAAGCTGATGTTGTTCTTTTCCACCAAGTTCTCTTTACGTTTAATGTCCACGCTGAGGATAGTGGAAAAGAAAAGCATTTGAAGGAAAAAGTCGGTTAACAAACCGACAATCGCGAAAATACACAGTTCTTGAATGGCGGGGACAAACGTGAACAGACCTATGGTGAGGATAGTAATTTCTATGAGAAGCGTCTTCGTGATGGACCAGCCTTCCTTGCTAAGCCCTTGGGCCACGCGAATTTTGATGTCCAAATGTAAAGGTGCCGAAGTGACACTTTTTGTTAACACCAAAACGTTCTCCAAGCCAACAAGGATCACGAGATACGGGAATATCTCTTTAACGCGTAACGACAACGTGAGGCCGAAGAAGAAACAGAGACCTAGGGTCATTGTCAAACTTCCTAACACAGTCATGACCGCGGTAAACGCCATGCCGCACTTTGACTTTATCAGTTCAATTTTCCTTACCGAAAAATAGTAGTAGACGAATAAAAGGCAAAACGACGTACCGAGAGGAATGAACTCGGAATAATTCAACTCGTCCGGATAATAAATGGAAACTATTTCGTTATTCGTTGTTGTAGAATTTTCCACATTTTGGTTTAGCGGATACAATTTTTGCAACTTATTCTTTAATCCCGATACAAACCTAGAACATTAATAAAATTCTAACACGCACCTAAAAAAGAAATATTGTCAAACACTTACGCTTCGTTGTAATCTCTTAAAAACAAAGTTATAGCGTACTGAAGGACCCTTTGCCTATTCCTCAAAGGGTACCGTTTTATTCCGGTATCTGACATGTGCATTCCGAACAGAAGTTCTGCGTGAGAAATTTTACCTTTTTGAAGATCCTACAATAAACACAAGTCCGTAGACAAAAAGTCGTTTATAAATTTAAAATTATCTAAAGCACCTGATGGTTAAAAATCGTGGAAAGAATTGAGCTGTCTTGCATAAACTGTTGAACATCTTGGTGCCAAAGATTAGCAGGTGAAAGTATAAGACAACCGTACTCCGGGAAAACATAATTCCTTTCGTCTTTAGTCTTTTTTAACGACTCGACGTGTAAGCATACATGATCAAATGTTTTGAGACTAAAATTTTTAATATGTTACGTTAATTAATTACAATTTAAATTTAATCTACCTTTTAGGATCTTCGTAATTTCGCACCACTTCCAAAAGCTTAAAAGCCTCGTAAAGTGGCGCCCTGAAGGCGTCACCTAAATGCAAAGTTTGGTCCCATGGCACTACCGAACTTCGTACAACTATCTGCTGTACGTAACACCACGGAGGATCTCCACCGTGAGATACTACCTTGGTCGATTCGTTGATGGTGTTCCATATTTGGATGGAGGAGTTACCTGGCAATGGTAAGTTAAGCAAAGGATAACTGGAACAAATAATTAATTTATTAAAAATTAATTCATCGGGTACATCTATAACCAGAACAGACTGGTTTTCCCGGACAAAAACATCGAATTCTTTGATCAATTTTATATGTATCTGATGTCTACAGTATCTAAATTAAATAATATTTACGTTTTTTAATTCAACCTTACAATCAGTCATCATCATAAGGTCGTCAGTCCTAAGACTGGTTAGACACGTACCTCCACTCTTTCCTATCCAGAGCTAAACTTCGCATTTCCCTAAAACTAGAACAACACACATCCTTAACTATTTGCGAATCTACGTCTACCTCTACCTCTCCTAACTCCTGTTTCTGCCTCTAATATGTCTCTGACTAGACCTTCATGCCTGAGAAGGTGTCCTACCAACCTATCTCGCCTATTTTTTATTGACTTCCATAGATTCCTCTGTTCTCCTATTCTTTCTAATACCTCTTCATTTCTAACCTTTTCTACCCAGGTTATCCATACAATCAGTATACATATAAATATTCATAATACATTTTGTTGTAACAGATGACTGTATTAAATAATATAGGTGTGTAACTTAAGTCTTCTATTTTTATTTATTTTTTAATTTTTGGTCAACTTACATATCCATTTCAAAAATTTCATTTTCTACCACATGAAAGTTCTGCCTTTTTCTATATTTTCACCATGCAGAAACGAGCAGTTATTAAAACTTGTGTGGTCAAATAATAATTAAAAAAAAAAAAAAAATTTTCTGATTATCGTAAGACCAAATAAAAACAGCTACATTTGCTTGGAAGCACAGTGAACAGAATTGATTTCTTGCACCTCTAGTTTACCTTGAATTTCAGTAAAACAAGTTGCAATGAACTTGATATTTGAAACACTAATTACAATATCTATTATAAACACCTATTTATTGATGTTACCAAAATTCTGCATACAATATTTTATAGCATATGTATTATTTGTAGTTATAAATAGTTTGATTTTTAAAATGTGGAAGTCTGGATGTAGATCTGTTGAAATATAAGGTATCTTTTGATCGGGAAAAGATAGTGAATCTAAAAACCTTCAACTTTAGTTTCGAAGGCAACCAACTATGCCATCGAACTTTGCAATTGAAGTTTGTAGGTACCTATATCTAAATATAGAAGTACATGCGAAATTACATTCTCTCCTACTTATTTACTTATGATTAATATGTATTTAAGGTAAATAATTATATACTGCAAGTAACGATGAAATGGATTTCACATTTCGTGATAAGCTTAAGGATATTTTATAAATAATAATTACCTTTTGACGCAAAAATATCATTCCCTTCATTACAATTTAATGATATTTATAAAAAAATATATAAATATATTTCATCTCTCATTTTAAAAGTTCAAAGTTGACACGACTGCCCATTTTACCACCCTACTGTTACACCACTGGGTGCTATTTGCTACTTTCCAGTAATGAATATTTTAGTACTTAAAAAACACAAAATTTAATTTAAACCTCATAAATATCAAACAGCACAATGGAATTATAATTGATTAAAGAGCGCTTTATTATAGGCTGTTGTAGGTTATTGTTACAACAGAAACAACGTTAAAAAAATGACATTTACTGAACTACTTTCATTCTTCTATTTTCCTTACTGCCGTTTTCAATTCAACCCACTCAGTTAAGTACGACAAATGCAAAATTAATACTAATAACAAAAGTCAACAATAGAGTAAAAATTAAAAAATTTCAACAATAGAAATTTTATTCAATAGGCATTTTTTTCTCTTAAAAAAACCAAGACTAAAAATTTACTCACACATTCATACGCTGTTTTAATTATATATAACAGATTTTTTGTTCAATTATTTGCATTTATTTTATTGCTTAATAATTTCACTTTTTAATTCATATTTTTATCTGTATCAGTCAAGGCTGCTAACAAATAAAACTTGCCTTTGTCAACTTATCTATCGTAATAGCAGATTATTTGCCAGTCTCTGTATTCATAATGTTAATTTTGCAAAATTTGCATACACGTGGGCAAATAATATTCTGATAAACTCGGTTTATAAAATACGTCACAAAAATATGTGAAATGGCAAAAAATATACATATTTACAAATCAATATTCAGGTTTAATATGCTACACTTGATTCTTTTTTTCGCCAGATAGATACAATACGAAGGTACCTGGATAATAATTTAATTGTAAATTTTAGTGACGTATGCGCACAGAATTTTAGACAGAAAGATGGTTCCACTTAAAATATATTTATACCACTATAGTAAACACCCAATAATTTCCATCAATTAATTGTTTTCACAAGTTATAGCATTAATAAAAGTGTTAAATCGCATTCGTTTCAAGGCATTTCATTTTACGGTTAAAGATAATGAATACATGCATGCCAAAGATACTATACAATTAAATCAATCAATTTTTGTGTGTCAGCATCACATTTAGACCCATATGCAAATGCAGAAAACCAAAATATAATATTAATAATGTAAAATAACACAAAAATATCAGTATTTTTGTTTGCATAAAATAAATTATCAGCATCGATGTGCGTCATAAATTCGTAACTTATGTACATTATCTGTCTATACCTGCTTGAGTGATCACTGATCAGGGTTTTTTTAATATTTGCAGGAGCAAATCACATTTAAATTTTAGTGCCTATCTACTTATACTCGGTCATAAATCGCATATTCATTATATGTTTTAATTTAATACTGCTATTTCGTTATTTAAATTAATTACCTATTTGTCTATGCAATTTTCCGTCAAATCTATAAAACATAGCTGTTTCGTAATTTTTTTGTTTTTAAGTACGTGAATCAGTGGCGACTCGTGACGAAATTAGTTTAAAATAATAAATGTACTTTTTAATAACTTTGCATTTCTGGTCAAGTATCTATTATCCACAATGACAACAGCCCCGCAAAGGTCTCCCCACCCGGAACCTCACAATGGCTAAGGCCGCCACTGACTTCAGGAAAATCAATTTTGTAGGTTTTCAATTAAAGAAGTTTCTTATTTTATATTGTAGCATTTTAACGAAGCAAAATTGTTTGTTTGTCTGTACTACAAAACGTATTACATTAGTTTAATAGGACAAATTTTTTATGGGCTTTCACATTACAACAGAAAACCACAAAATTAATTCGGAAAGTGCTATTTATAATTCGTAATAGATGGTAAACTAATAACCATGACTGGAAGAACCTTACATATGAATATTTATGGAAATGGAGTATTCGAAATGCGTACTTTAAAAAAGATACTGTTATTATATTTAAACATTTCATGAAATTGAAAGAAAATATAATTTTAATGAATCGATAAGATCCGCAACTACATTAGATATCCAACAAGATTTCAATCAGTACTTCAAAATGGAATTCATTAAAATTTTTGTAGGTATAAGCATTTTTCGTCATAAACTGTTAGACAAATTATCAGCATTTTCTTTGTATTTATTTTATGTAGTTTTTCCAGGGTGGCGGTCAATTAATTACACAGCTATATGTTTTTGGCAACGTTTCGGTTTATTTTAACCATCTTCAGACTAAAAAAGTGTAATTAATTAACCGCCACCCTGGAAAAAAACTACATAGTTTAACAGTAACGGTCAGGAATCTAAATTAAAGGGTATATTTATTTTGTATTTATACCTACTCAAAAATAATTTCAATCCTCTGGCAACAGAGTAACTATTTCCTTTCTGTTATAAAAAATTTAGTGAGTAGATCTTTACTTAAATTTTGTCGGAATACTACAGCAGTTTATGATAAAAGCACCCCATGATCTCCGAAATTTCTAAGACATTTAGAAAATTATGAAAAATCCGAGAAATTACTCAAAGTTCCATAACTTTAAAAAACAGGTGGTATTATCAGACAGACGTAGTTAAAAAAGCATCACCAAGTTATGCATTTTCGCTAGTGCGACATGAAATAAAAAAATGAAATGTAACATATTGTCTTATCTGTATACATAATTCTTAAGGTAAGGTTGATGTCAGCACCCCCCCTTCCCGTTTATGAAAAAATCTGCATGAAATTTTGCACTTAACAGTTCCAGCGATGTGTTATTTGACTGCACGCGAAAACGCGAAGCGGCGAGAGTGCAATGTCGACATGGGCGTAGCTAGAGGGAAGCAAAGGTGAACACTGCCGACCCTAGAAAAATCCACAATATGGGATGTTTTCAATATTTTTATCTTGAGAAAAAGATTCCCTAATAATATTATTTTACCATCTCCGAATAACCACCCTGCCACATCGCTCTCTAAATGTACCTGTTTTACATGAATTTCCTTTAATTCATTATAAAAATTTACAATATTTGTTTTTCTGTAAGTGTAAGCCGACCTTGGCGTGCTGGTAAAGGTTTGTAGTTTTTGTTAATCTAAGTGTATTTCATGTTTATTTCCTTTTATACAACTTTAAAATCAAGGCTAAAAATTTTCTGGAGCAGCACCCCCCCCCCCCGATTATTTTAGATACGAGTCACCACTGCTCGATACACAAGCGACACTCGCACTTGTCTGAGTTTTTCCTGACAACTTATTACATTTTTTTATGTTGCAACAGTACACATGCAAATGATTGTACTTACCAACACAGAAGAACAACGGATATAGCTATCGATATGACAGTGGCGGGGTACGTGCTGCAAAAAAGGCCGTGGGAGTAATAAAGCTGTGCGACCTTATCTTGTAGCCCAGTGGGGTGTTTGCCCCTTGTATGGGAGGTTTTTGCGGCTGCTGCCGCTTTCGCGGAGTTCGTTGCGCCCCGCGATGGGCGGGTATCTTGCGCAAGCGCATTCATTTACTACGTCACGTTACCCATTCTTACAATTGCTGGTCTCTTGTTTTATTTCTTATGTTAAGTGAGAAATAGGCGTGCAATTCATAAGTACCCTGCAACAAATATAACAATATTAGTAAGAACTTATTGTTCTTTATAAACACGACAATATTACGTAACAAACATTTGAATAAATAGATTACAAATGACGATAAGAGTATAATTGAAAAAATTACTTACTAGGAAATTACATTATTTAAAGTTTCCTTTTATTGTAATTGTATAATTAAAATTAAATAACGTTCAGTTAAAGCAATCATTAATCAAAAAATTAATTTGTGTTATGTTACAATAGGTATACAAAAATAAAATAAAAGTCCTAATAACTTTTTAACTATTTGCGAACAGTAATTTCATCTAAATATACATCTACCTCTTTTAACTCCTGTTTCTGCTTGTAATATGTCTCTAACTAGCCTTCATGTTTGAGAAGGTATCAACCTACAATATCTCGCCTATTTTTTATTGACAGACATAACGCTCACTGTTCTCCTATTTTTAAAAAATTATTAATTATTAGATATTATTTATAATGTAATTCTTACTTTTCTCTCAAGTAAGATTCAGACAAAGATAATATACTAAAATTTACCTCCTCAAATGTTTTTAATCTGATATTAATGTGTGCTTGAATAAGTTGCTTTATCACACAATTATCAAATAAGCAGGGATCAGAAATTACCGCATTTACAATTTTCATTAGTCAATTCCTTGAAACGTATCATTACTATAGAAATTTTATTTTAGCGAAAAAATCTCCACTGCTTACCTACACATTAGCGCAGTTTATCCGTTCTTAATGACAGTATTTATACTTCATAATTTTGATAAAAATTAACAATCAAATCAAAACATTCACCAAAAGGATATTGTTTATACCAATTAACACCTCCAACTAAAATTTATTAAAATGTACCTAGTCCTATAACATATTGGAATAACTACTTTACCTACTATAATTTACAAAACACGAAATTTAAAAAAAAAAACCAATCATAAAATAAATATATTTTAGTAATTAGGGGCATGTTTAAAATTAATTAATGTCAGTGTTAGTGCAATCAGAAGTATGTCAAATAAACATTAGTTCTGACATTTGAAATATAAAAGTTCAACAACCCAAGCTTACGTTGAAGATTAATACCAAATTAAGAAATTAATTTTATTACTTTTGCAATTCAGTTTTGATTGCAATAATAAACCACTAAGTTAAATTAAAAATTAATGATCATTTCAAAGGTAATTGAGGAAAATGTTTTAAGAATAGTGTATTAGGTACACCTATTTGGTCTTAAATCGATACATAATTATTCAATAACACAAACAATTGTAAATGAAAACTAAAATCCAATGATAAAATCCCACAGTTTATGTACAACATTGCACAATAAAAAGCCGCCCTATTAATTATTTAATTATTAATTAAGAATAAGACTGTATCGAAAAACGTATTCATTCTAAAATATTGTAAATAAAAAGATGATGAGCAGCAATAATAAATTAATTTAATAGGAATGTTCGTTAAAACAAATCACAAATACGAAAAGGAAAATGTTTTTTACTATATTGTTTTTGAGATAATAATACGTCATAATACACAAATACACCACTGACATTATTAGTATTATTTTAAGGTAATGATAATGACCAATTATAAACAATAATTACAAACATAACAGCGACTTATCGGAAGAGCATGCTCGGTTCAGTTGATGACCCAAGCAGAGTTTAATAACAATTTTATTACAGTAAATTGATCATACTAAAAAACAGTACAGAGCAAAAATAGAACTGGCCTTACAGCTTACGACAACTTTACTACATACACGTATGTACATATTTACATATCTACGTATTATATTATAGCAGTCAGATACCAATTATAATAGAACAGGTGTAAGCGTAAGGTACGGAGACTACCTCAACAATTTGATAGCCATTACATTAGCAAGAATATCGAATAATTTAATAAGTGGACGTACTGTTATTGATATAAATGACTGAACAATAGCTGGTTAAATTCGTAAATAGATTCTTTTATAAAGCCATTCTTCCTGTCAATTACAACTATAAATTGTTAAGCCGCTTAGTTAATCGTACTTCAAACATTACTTACCTCAAAATATTACGCTTGAAATAGTAATAACACTACATCATTTTATTTATTGTACAGCTAGTTTCAATCCAAAAAACACTTGGTGCACTAATATGAGTAAATACGCGTTTTTAACGCGATAAAAGGTATCGCATATAACCTCACCCGACACACATTGACGCACAAAACCCGATGACTGATTTTTACATTTTTGCAGCCCATAGTAGCAGACCAGAACCATAGATCGCCATACATGCATAAATCAACCTTTCTTTTTCTCTTTAGTAACGCTAATAGCGCCACTGTATAAACATTACGTAAAAAAGTCTAATATTTAACCTTTACTTTAAAGATGTCGTCTATAGTAATGGCTTATGCAACTACTTATACAGATCAGTAATCTGGAAGTATTTTTAGCGTTAGGAATATATTAGGGCATGATTCGCATAAAAAATAAATATTAGTTATCGGTTTTCTCAAATGTAATAAATTACTTATTGCATATACATACTTTGCTGTAATGTGTAAGACAATTTCTCAATTTTGTTCTCAAATCTCTTCTGCGCATATAATTACTTTTTTAATTTTTGAACAAATAAAATGAATTACATACATATATTATTTACAAAGGAGAACATAAAAAGTACACATATATGCTTTATAAAGCCTGTAAGATATAATAATTAATATGAATCTTAAAAATTGCGACAAAATATTCAGTTTTTGTGTCTAGCATAATCCCACGCTGCATTTGCATCCAACAGCTATTCTAAATTTCTCCGGTTTCCAACATGAAGAATCAATTTCTTTTTTTAAGACATATACGTCTTCGTAATGAGTTTTACATTCATCAGCACCTCCTCCTGTGCTTCGAACAAAACAGACCTTAAAAAAATAAGTAGAATATTTGCTTAAAAATTTCACAGTAGGTAACATAGAAATCATCGCTTACATGCTTATGATGACTTGAAAGACCGTCATCAGAATACGGAACACAAGTAAAATTCCGAAAATGGGATGGCATAAATTTGTAACCCTCTTGTTCGTGTTTGCCAACAGAAACAATCGTTTGGCATTTCGAAAATGTATCCTATAAAGTAAAACAATTGCAAAAAATTGTATTATATATCCTATGGCTTTTTGAATTTTATTAGTCAGTATTTTAATCCCTTTTGGACAGTATTCAATTAAGCAGGGAAATTCGGTAATATTATATATAAAAGAAATTATGAGTGCTGGCAGCACAGGGCGAAGTAGTATTACGTAGTTAGTATCAGCAATTTCTTATTCTGAAGTGTACGATGTGTTGCATACCTATTTACAAACAATTCCTTTAAATTTAATTTTTCAAACAATTTTTAATAAAAAGAAAATGATTAAACAAATTGTTCACAAAAGTGAATTTCGACCATTCGATGCAATTGTGCTATCAGTTTCAAGCTCATAGTGACTGATAAGAGGGAAGAACTTGTATTTTTAAAAATTTTTTCGATTTCGATTATGCAGATCCAGTCTTAATGATCGGTATTTAAATCCATATAGTCACTATCCTTTGGCGGTCAGTATTTAAATGCAGCTCTTTGTATTTTTATACCTACTTACAAAAAATGGATTTAAATACCAACCATATAATTTGCTGCAATTAGTAATTACCAATATAACTATAAATGGCGGTACCAATCGTGGTATAATGGAACTCAAATCTCAAATTTTTACATACTAAGTATAGGAATTCCTGTTTATGTTTAATTCAAACCGTGGTATTGTTATCGTAATTTATAATTACTAATATCAAAATATCATTATTATTATTATTATATTTTACCCTGTAATCGCCATAAGTTTCACCAACAGCAGGTCTAGTAAAATGTTGAGAAAGTGGAAAATACGATTGCCTATTTCTTTTTTTTATGATGTCATTATTATTCAGATAAAATCGGCCTAAATCGGGATTTTCTTCCACATTCCACTTTTTTATATTATCGTCCATTTCGTTGTCAAAATCATTTGGTTCTTGAACCGCCAAAGCTTTTAATTTCATTATATCTAAAGATACCTGTTCCTCGCTTGTAAGGGGATCTCTTACATAACTGAAGGGGTCTTCATCAACTTCAAAACCAGCGGCATAATTTGAATATACAATTGCGTAAAATACGGGAAGAAACTAAAAAAGAAATCAAATTATTGTAACGTTTTCAATTACTATTTAAATTAATATTTAAAAAAAAAAACACCTTACCAAATACACAATTAACTGCACAAACGTTTCGAAAACGAATCCATTACATGAATGTCTAATAATTTTACATGGTGGTTTATAATGCACTCGATTACAATAAAAATGATAAATTTGTAAAATTAATTAATTTTTAAAGCCCTTCAGCAAGTACTATTTTTATTATATTAGTTTTGCGGTAAATTTGGAACTAATGGGCTGTATTTTTGCAAAAAAGAATAAACCAGAAAAAAATTATCTGATAGTTTAATCTACTCTCTAAAACTTTTATAAAATATATTTTTGCTGTTCTATGTAGGGCGGATCAGCAGACAGACGGTTAGGGGACAGATGTGTGTTTGAACTTGTATAAATTTCATTTTTTCATTTAAAATGCGGAGCCTAGAGAAAAGTTTTGTTTAAAACGCTAAATAGAGTAGTTGATAGTAATTAGTATAAGAAATTACATATTCCATTTGTTAATGGATGTCCCCCAGGGCTCCAGGTAATAAATTGTTATCAAAGTTACTTCAAGCTTTACATTTGTACGCGTAAAGCGAAGGTAATGTCAATGATAGTAATGATGACAATAACTAGCCTGTAGATTTCACCTACGTCAAGTACATGTACTAATGAATCTTAATGGCTAAATTGGGGTTTCTATGAAAATTGAACCTTATAGCTGGTAACAACAAAGTCGACAGGCGACATTTACAATAAATGATTTAGATTTACAAGTGAGGGAATTCAGACAAGTTCACGCAATAAACACCTTCTTCTCTAAACGTCATTCACGTATTATTATCAATGTGATGATTTTCAGATGATGAGAAAATCGAACGAGTGTTTTTCGAAACTTTGTGTTGTTAAATTTTAAAATGATAGAAATTAGCGAAAGTCCAGCAACCAAAGGACGCACAAGTGAGGAAAAAGAAACGAAATCAAAACTTTGGGCATCGTTGAGTGATTTACCTGAAGAAAATGGCTTCATTAAAAAAGAGTAAGTTTTTTTTATGAAATGTTTATGTTTGTTTTGTTTTATTGTTTCAACAGTCAAAAACAAAAGTAATAAAAACAAATGACGTCTTAATATTTTAATTAAAATTAATTAAAAACAGTACCTACTGGGAAACCGTTATAATTTCATAATAATACAAACAAACTAAACTCAAAAATATAGTATCTCACATTTTGAGTTAGGCTAAATATGTGGTAAATAATTAAATTCAAATTTTCTTTTTCATCACTGAATAATTACGAAAGGAGTAAAAAATAGAAGCTTATACAAAAAAAATCAATCTTGTACATAAGGGTGCAATGTTTTTATTATAAAACTGTACCATCGTTTCGCATTCGCAAGATAGGCTTCTTCGTTAATTAATAATCTAATCAATTACCGACGAGACATCATAATCAATAAACTTTTTGCCCTTTACTGATTTGATTACGATTCCATTTAGGAAAGATACGAAAATTAGGAAACTAAACCTTCTTATGAACAGTAAGACCAAATATTTGCAGAACGAAGTTGAATTTAATCAAAATCAAACTATCAAATCGGACAAATCTTCCCATTCAACTTATTATTATGCAACTGCGTACTGAATAATTATGACCATTCATATTATATTATACAGTAAAACGATGACGTCTTTCAATTTAAACTAATAAAAAAAATTACAAAGTTTTCTAATAAAACTAGCAATAAAAAAATAGTTTAAAATCGATAAAAGAATAGTTAAACTTTGGAGAAATGCATTTTATCTAATGGGAAAAATAATGAACAGATTCGATCATCGTCGTCGCAAAAAGGGAATACATCCAATGGAACCCGCCGCTACAGTCATTTTTGAAAGCAGAAGATTTTTGGGGACATTTAGAACAACAAAAAAGTAAGTACCTTTCTAAAACATCAAATAATATACACACATATATATATATGTAGTACATACTGTGTATAACAAATTTAAAAAGTATAAAACAACGCGTACTTACAAATAAATTATGTAATGTAGTCATGATATTATTGCGGCACTCTGTTAAAGGAAAATTCGATAATACATTAATTTCAGTGCGAACTGTTTTTTTATATACGACAATAAAATCCATGGGAATCAGGAAAATCCTTCCCTTTTTAATTTCCTTGCATTATCAGTTTATTCAAAACCTACATGTCTCCTAGTTCTCATTAAGTAAATAAAGTTATTAATTTACGGCCTGTACCAATAACAAAAAGTAAGCACCCTAGCTATATCTAATCCTGTGTCAAAATGAGTCAATCCTGGAAATGATGTTTGTTTGTATTTCAGATAAATAATTAATTTTATTTAAAAATAAGTACATATGTGGCGCTAATTCATATCGAACTAATTACATGAATAACTTTGGTAATTTGTTATTTAAATTAGTTATATTGTTTATTAAGCAAACGAACTTATTTTTCAAACAAAAAAGAAAGGTCTTATCCCAACTAACCAGTTTTACAGTTTAAAAAAACGCGGACACGTGTTTCGCTCACTTACACGTTTAAACTGTTGTGGTTAGTTAGGATAAGACCTTTCTTTTTGGTTTATCATTATAGCACAGTCTCCTTTATATTTATTTCGGACTTATTTGTGTTTAGAAAAACATGTAAAAATCAAGAGATTTTCCCGCCGGGATCATCCGGCATATTTCGACAAAAATCCCTTAATTCATGTGATCGCCATCTATCGATAACTGATTACGCTAAAGCGGCACGACAATCAATCGGTAATATAGGCACGTTGTTATCGCGAAAAATGGCGGCTACTACATCTCAACCAAATATTCCTTGGCCGAATTCCAAAGATGATTACGAACTACGGCAAGTAATCGGTAAGTACCCGCTAATTAACGTTTTATATTATAATAACTTTTTGAAAACATAAATAATTCTTGTAAAGATACAACGTATTAACTGTGGACTGACGACAATCCGTGTGGATTAAGGTTATGTTCATGTTTAGTAGATTCGTTCCGGTCTTTCGCTATCGGTTAATTTAGTTATAATCTTTATAATATTAATAACAAGCCATTTATTATACATAAATACATTTTTTTGTTGAATTTCCAAAGTTAGTACGTAAGTGCTCTCATAAATTCAACATTTATAGGGGTGTGTCAATTTGCTTTGAACTGCATTACTTAAATCGAATAAATACGTCGGTTAATAGATTTGTGGGCCAACATATAGTAGATATGACCTGAATTTGATTGGGTTAATTGGTATGGTCACAAGATTTGAATTAATGCTAATGATACATATTTTGTTTGTTAGCACATGTCAGCATACACTTAGTTTTTAATTTGTTTGAAAATATAGACATTTTTTGTGTTCTTCTAAGTTATCCTTTTGGTATTTGGTCACTAACATTTTTATTACATAAGTACATTTATAACTTTAATTACAAAACGAAACAATTAAACTTTCTACTTATACTTTACTATTAACAAATCATTTAGAACTTTTCAACAATTGCTTAAAATTATTATCATGTTGTCTAATGATAATAAACATAGTACTTGTAAAAAACCTTATTATTTATTTGTATGAATTGACCTTCAATTTTATACAAGCTGTTCTTAATTTAATTTTCTTAGTGGATGTAGTGAATCAATGAGACAAATAATTCCTATCTAAAGTATAATGTAGTGTAATAAACTATTATGGCATTTACATATGTATTAACTTAGTAATGATATTTTAGGAAAACAGGACTCATGCTTTTTTATAATGTACTAAAAATCTGTAATTTAAAAACATTCTCATATATGATTTTTAGGTGTTGGTGCAACTGCAGTGGTTCATGCAGCACTGTGTAAACCACGAAACGAAAAATGTGCTATAAAACGTATAAATTTAGAAAAATGGAACACATCAATGGACGAATTGCTCAAAGAAATTCAAGCCATGTCAAGTTGCAATCATGAAAATGTAGTAACCTACTATACTAGCTTTGTTGTTAGAGAAGAACTATGGCTTGTGCTGAGGTTACTTGAAGGTAGATTATACTAGAAAGGTTCTTTAATAAAAATAATAATCCGTTTCATTTTAGGTGGAAGTTTGTTGGATATTATTAAACATAAAATGAAAGCTACTAACTGCAAACATGGAGTTTTTGATGAAGCAACAATTGCTACAGTCTTAAGAGAAGTTCTTAAAGGTTTGGAATATTTTCACAGCAATGGTCAAATTCATAGGTACATTAATGATATTTTATTTGAAAGAAGCTCTATTGCATCCAGTTAAATAGTTGTGGTGAAAGTACAATGATATTTTAATTTTGCAGAGACATTAAAGCTGGTAATATTTTGTTGGGAGAAGATGGCACTGTTCAAATAGCAGATTTTGGTGTATCAGCATGGCTGGCCACTGGACGTGATCTTTCCAGGCAGAAAGTAAGACATACATTTGTGGGGACCCCATGTTGGATGGCTCCTGAAGTAATGGAGCAGGTTAGTTGTTATTAATTTGGAACCATATAAAAGCAAACTATAACATGTAAGAAATATTATTAGTTTTTCAAGATGGGATAATAGAAAATACAGTTTGAAAGCATATACAGTTTGGAAAACTTAAACCGCGAATTTCGCACAAACGGAGAAAATCGATATACTTCTCAGGGCATGTAAATGTTGTACGAAATGCGTTCTGTCTGCATCCCTTCCGCTTTCGTTTGCCTATTTGTACACAAGTACGTTAAACAAAAATGTTAAAAATCGTGGGTTTCTACTAATTAAAGGTAACTTTCATAAACTAAAGGTATCAACACAATACTAATTTTTTGTTATTTGTTGAAGATTTGTAAATAATCTGTGTGTTATTTTATTAATAATCATTTAATTAATTCCGTCGAATGATAACAGCAGTAATTCAATAGTACTGTTAATTGAGCCACATTATCAGTAGTGTATGCGATTGTTCAAAACCCGCCACTAATGTAATGGATAGAATGCAAATGCAAACGTCACTTCATTATGGCCAATGTTTACTGTGGGCAAATAAAAAGATTGTATAACTTTCGCATTCTTTCATAAATAAACTAATAGGGCGACCTAAAATACGACCGTTTGAAACAAAAATTTTTAGTTCACTCAACCTGAAATAAAACGGATGACACAGTATAGCATCATTACTCAAAAATTCGAAAAGTTAATAAAATGAACAGATAAACATTACAACCTTTTATTAGATATATACCAATTTTTTGCAGTATTTTATTTTTTTGAATACATATTTTTTATTTATAATTAGTAAATATGTATTTGAGTCACAGAATATGTTTCTTAATGCATGTTTAAAAACGAATCTAAATAATTTTAATATGCACCTATTTGTAAGAAAAAACATTTGTAGAGTATATTATACAAAAAATTTATATTATCAAAACCATACCCCTCAAAATAATTTTCAGGATCACGGTTACGATTTCAAGGCTGATATTTGGTCGTTTGGAATAACAGCGATAGAAATGGCGACTGGTACCGCCCCATACCACAAATATCCACCGATGAAAGTACTCATGTTAACGTTACAAAACGACCCACCTAATCTGGATACAGGTGCAGAAGAAAAAGATCAATATAAAGTAAACATTTTTGTTTATAAATTAGAAAAGTTGGCGTATTAGTTTAAAGTAAAATATATATGCATATTTATTTTAATACAGGCCTATGGAAAAACTTTTCGCAAAATGATATCAGATTGCTTGCAAAAAGAACCCAGCAAACGGCCAACAGCGAGTGAATTATTAAAACACCCGTTTTTCAAAAAAGCCAAAGATAAAAAGTATTTACAACAGACACTTGTTGCTATTGGACCAAGTTTGGAAACGCGAATTCAGAAAGCTTCAAAACGACAACCGGGCGCTTCCGGTCGATTGCACCGGAAAGAAACAGGCGAGTGGGTATGGTCAAGTGATGATGAAGGAGCTAATGAAGACGAAGAAAGCGATAGCGATACTGATTCAAGACCAATGAACACACTTGCATCGGTCGGATCGAGCGGTTCCGATCGAGACGAAAGTAGCGAAGCGGACACGTTACCCCCTGTCAATCTGGTATTACGAATGAGGTGTGTAATTTAGTAAATTTTATCCATTTTTGCGGGGCAGTTTTAGAATAAGTTAGTTCTGGTGAATTATAAAAATACGTTAATTCTTTTCTCGAAATAGTGAAATAAGCAATAACAAATTTTTCTTGTTAATGTTCCTACTTAAGAAAGTATTCTGCTTATTTTAAGTAAGAATGCAAAACGTCTGTAAATTTTATTTGTTATGCCGTGGCTTAACAAGTCATTTTAACGAAAGGAAGTGAAAAAATACAGAAAATCTAAGAGCTAGTCTGTCTATTTACGCGATAATAATGGCTATAATTCCGTAGTCTGATTTAAACTTACAAATAGATACACCCTTTTAAAATCGTATGTTCATTAATTCATATATCGAAACCTGTAGAATATTTCACGTTACCGCAAACAAACAACACCCATCTTGACCTCAATTCTTTTGTCGACGAAGCAGTTTAGTAATGTTAGAGAACTTGACTTATTTTTTTTACATTAAGATTTTTGGTAGTATATAATTGCCTTTCGATCATGTATGTTTTTTACTTGATGTAGGTAAAAGTTGCACTTTTTTGAAATATTTTAATAACATTTTTTTCCCCTCAGAGAACCATATAGTCTCCGTCCTGTCCTAAGGTTAGTCCTTAATCCTTTTCCTACCTTTTTTTATTAATTGTTTGAATTTATTAATCACATTTTTTTTTTCAACAAATATAAGCTACGTATAGTTAGTATTAGCAGTTGTCTCAAATACTAATCAAACCAAATATTTAATACCATTATTATTTGTTTTGAGGCTTTCTGGCCGTTGTCTTTGGAAATTGTTTCTCTACGTTTCGCCTACAATTGCAGCAGATATTTTCAAGGCTAGCACTATGCAGCACTCGCCGATAAAAGCAACGTGCTACTTTTGAAAATGTCTGCCGCATTTGTAGGCTAAACGTTGACGGACAATTTTCAAAGATAACGGCCAGAAAGCCTGAAAGTAAATAATAAATAGAGGCGGATTAAATGTCGAGAGCGCCCTAGGCTAGCACCCCGTAGACGCCCCTCTGGCGTTCATATATTTTGCAAAATAATTTTTGTAAGTACATCCTTATTTTTTGTTAGCTTAAAAACTCCCGCGCGCGCCCCTAGGCATGTGCCTAGTTTGCCTTACGGATAATCCGCTTTTATTTAAATATTTAATGTATAAGTTGGTCTACGTATTAGCCAATAACATTTATTATGTATTTCAAAGGAATGCAAAACGAGAACTAAACGACATCAGGTTCGAATTCGCAGTGGGTAAAGACAGCGCCGAAGGAATTGCGAGCGAGTTAGTGGGTGCAGGATTAGTGGACAATAGGGACAGTACGGTCATCACGAATAATCTTCAAAAATTAATCGACAACAGAGATTCCATTAAAGTTGTCACGTTTCCTTTGGTAAGTTTTTAAAATATATATTTTATTGTGCATAGAAATTCCGCATTTCTAATGTTTTGTTTTACTCCAGTAAATTTCTAATCATTTTTAAATAAATTATTTTTTCATGGAACTTAAGAAATATAAATGGGTATTTTAATTATAATAACGGATTGAAATGAAATTTTCATTTCTTGTTGTGTAGAATTCGAGTGTGGCAAACAACGAGGTACCCGATGACAAAGCTCTTATAGGTTTTGCTCAAATTTCGATAACAGACTGAAAGAATGAAAAGGGAAGTTTTTTATGTAACCACATATTAATAATGATTATAATGATTACAATAATTAATAGTAATGGTAGAGTACTAAACGATATAAGTAAAAGTCTGGTATGTATATAATGTAGATAAGATTTTAATATTTTATTATTTTACATTATTAAACAGTTGATTTTGTTTTGTTATGTATATCACATTTTGAGTTAGGCTAAATATGTGGTAAATAATTAAATTCAAATTTTCTTTTTCATCACTGAATAATTACGAAAGGAGTAAAAAATAGAAGCTTATACAAAAAAAATCAATCTTGTACATAAGGGTGCAATGTTTTTATTATAAAACTGTACCATCGTTTCGCATTCGCAAGATAGGCTTCTTCGTTAATTAATAATCTAATCAATTACCGACGAGACATCATAATCAATAAACTTTTTGCCCTTTACTGATTTGATTACGATTCCATTTAGGAAAGATACGAAAATTAGGAAACTAAACCTTCTTATGAACAGTAAGACCAAATATTTGCAGAACGAAGTTGAATTTAATCAAAATCAAACTATCAAATCGGACAAATCTTCCCATTCAACTTATTATTATGCAACTGCGTACTGAATAATTATGACCATTCATATTATATTATACAGTAAAACGATGACGTCTTTCAATTTAAACTAATAAAAAAAATTACAAAGTTTTCTAATAAAANTTAATATTTTATTATTTTATATTATTAAACAGTTGATTTTGTTTTGTTATTATGTTACTTATTATTTTGAATGAAAAAAAAAACCGTGCCTAATCGATATTTAATTCATTGTTATTTAATGTGTCGTACTTAAGCTCTGTATCAAAGCTTTAAAATTATTTTAATATTAATCGAAGAAAAACGGAATTAAAAAACGTATAATAGTTTAAAAATTATACTTAAGTTGAAAGAGAAATATTTTAGTAATTTTGGTTACTTGGTGCTTCTTATGCTTTTGTTTTCTTTTGGGTGGATTATTAATAATTACGAATACAGTTCATTGCATAAATAAAAAATTAAATTCTACTTATTTTGCGCGCTTAAATCGATATGTACACAAATATTTTTTCTAGTGTTCCTAACGCAATTGCACTAGATGTTCATTTCTGTTCCTAATAATAATTGGGAAAATTAAAAGAAACCCAGACGAAAATGTTGCCTTTTAGGAATAAGTGAAATCATTAGTAATTACTTACTTAGCTACTTGTAATATTGTTTCACCAATGTGCAGTTTCTCTTTTTAACGCTTTTTTTATTTAATTCAATTTTAAATAATTTGTTACTAAAATGATTATTTGTCACTGCCTAAACGTCGGGGAATAATTTTTCTTAAATTTCATTATGATATCTTATCAAAAGTATTTGATTACTTTTACCATGTGGATTTTACAGACATTTGAATATTTAGCATTCTATGTATTTCTCAAACTTTTAAGATCACTAGTTTTTTATTTTAATAGAAAACCGCAAATTGGCCTGTTTTTATTCAAGTTGCTAAGTATTTACAATAATATTAAATTTTGCTTTGTGAACTGCTTACACTGCAAAACGATGTATTTTTGATTGTTATTAATCTACTTACCTATCAAGCATTCAACGATTGTAGTTTCTACTACAGTTTGCCTAAAGTAGATATATTTGAACTCATTGGCAAATTTTAGTGCTAATGGAATCAGCGTTGTGAATTATTACTATTCAAGTATAAGAGGAAAGTGGTGAAATTGTACATAATATTTATTTATTCCATTTTAAAATCGCAAATATAATAAAAAGTGATTATTACAGGCTCTTTAATTTTTTGTTTTTAAGAATTATGTATTCTCTTATGAAATTAAAAGATTCTACATACGTTCCACATTTGAAAATGCCAACAGAATGTATTTGTTTTAAATTATGTTTTTAATGAGGCAAAAAAATAATCTACAATAACTATATAAAGGATATAATTTCTGCAGTAAAAATCTGTAGAACTGTATACAGTAGATACTTGATAGTGTGAACTGATAAAACAGTTGTTCACGTTAACGAATATTATATTTTATATGTAATAAACATATCTGTAATTGACAAATGCTTAAAACAGTAATGAAATATAATTTTTCACCATATAAATCAGATATTTTTGTTTGTTTCTGAGGATTTTTTTGCACATTGGTTCCTTTTTTTGATCTTTTTATACTTAACTATAAAGTCAGTAATGTTCACATCATTCTCTTCTGCCTACAGGGTTACATTTAAAGCGTCTATAGTTCTAAGCAAAATATACTCAACAGCTCAAAATTTTTCCACCGCTACTTTAAAAGTCTTCAATAAGACATCCTTTAAATTTATTATCACAATGATTCGACTTCAACAAATCGAAATACCGATTTTTTAGGCTAGTGAGCAGTCGTTTCTATAAGCTAAGATGTAGTTTGCTCACGGTATATGGCGACCTAGCATAGTTAATATGCCGCTCACAATATCGAA